TGTGGAGTTGAATATGCTGCATAATTTGGGTATTCCTGAGAATCAGATCAACAAGGATAGGAAGGCCTGTGAGACCACATATCTAGCTTTTCTCTAACCAACAAAGCCTATAATTTGACAGTCATACAGGCTAAAGTCTATTGCCAGCATGTTCCAAACAATAATAATGTAAGATGATTATGTAAAGACTAACCGAACATGGAAATTTAAGAAAATTACACTATAAAGTGTGAAATTCCACATCTGTTGGAGAGGAGAACGAAACATTCCTTAAAAGGGTGTGGAAACCTCTCCCTAACAGACGCATTTAAAAACGCAAGGTTGACGGCGATGGATAACAGGCCAAAGCGGATAATATTTGCTAGCAGTGAGTTTGGGCTATTACAATAATTCAATGGCAGTCTAGCGTATTCATAGAACATCTGGAGAAACCATACCAAAATGTTTCCACCATCTGTCAATATACCCTTTAATTATTTTCCTCAGTTGAAAACTATGGATATGCCTAAGCTTTTCATAGTTGAGATTCAATGTCAAGCTTGAGATGAACTACATTCCAATCCACTCATCAACAAGAATGGTAAATCTATCCTAAGAACTGCGCCTGTTAATAAAACATGCTTGGATTAAGGCGTACAAGGCAACGTCACATGGGTTAAGAAGAGCCACGTCGGTCTTGCATGTGTTCCTACCAACCATTTTACCTAGTAATTCGACACTAGGAGTACGACTTACTAAGGCCTAAAATTTGTTGTTCGTTATAGGCATATATATCCATTAGTTCTGACACGGAAAGTAAATAAAAAGAGAACAATAAGCAGACGACAAGTGATTCCTGCTTACACCTTCACAAAATGCCAGTCCTTCAAGTATAGTACAGGCTTGTCGATATCTCCATTGTTCGAAGTAACGCCACGCTCCTGTACAGCCTCCTTGCACCATTGATCAATGAACTCTGAAACAGACATTTCTACTCTCTTCTGATCTGTGAATTCTCTAGTATTGCAATCTGCAACCTACAAATGGCAAATGATTATCTAACCTGGAACAAAGACTCGAAACTCATTCTATCTTTCTATCACTACATGAGATGGCCCAATCACACAAGTAATGCCAAATTTTCAAGCCGAGTTCCTCCGGGATTGAGCCAGAAAGGCAACGGTCAAAGGAAACGCTAAACTAAACATTCACCAACTTCCAAAAGATATCACAATCGGTGCATACTACTAAGTCATTAATCTTTAAGCAACGAGGAGATATGCATCCTTCTTCATGCTGTTTGAGTTGCAAGAGCAAGACTCCTCCTTATTCCACTGAATAAAATCTCCGGATATACAAAGAAATTGAATCGCAATGCATCATGATGAAATGAAACGAGAAAAAAAGAACAGATATGAAAATTGAGCATAAATTTAGTACCTGAACCTTGGATTTCCCGAAATGGGTGGAAAAGAACCGTAGATTTGGCTGCCCATTCTCGTCGACCCAATCGCTGCAAGCCTTCCAACCATCCATAAGACCTGTCAAAACCACAGGTTGGTTCTTCTCCATGTATCGTTCTACAAATTCCTCATAACTCAATTCATTTCCGTTTACTTTGTCTATTCTTCCACTAGTTTCGATCGCCATCATTTACTTTGCTGAAATTGTTGACGTGGTCCTGAAAGCAAGCCAGAAGAACAAAGCTCGATCACCGCCAGTAGCCGCCATGCTTTCATCTTTCTCGAGCAATGAAATTGGGCTAGTTTAAGTTGGGCCAGGCCCAGATTCAATGGCGGATCGTCGGATCCAAGCAGCAAATTAACCCCAATTTGTCAAACTGTAAAATGGCGCCTACATCACCGATTACGTTGCTTCCTTGGCAACCCGCCATTAGTTTCAAAGAATCGTTTGGAAGCGACGTTTGTATGCGAGCTATCTGGATTATCCGTCTTCTTTACAACAGCATGGTCTTTTTTTTTTCATTTCTTCATATCTTCCTTCCGCAGGTCACCGATGATCTGAAAAATTGCAAAAACATTTGTGGTGTTCAATGTTGGAAAAAGGGATAGATAGGTAAAGAGATAAGAATAGATAGAATAGATAATAATATTTTATTAGTCTGGTTACACAATTTTTGTATTCATAGATTATACACTACCAGAAATTTAAATCTACTGAAAATCTCCTTAAATTAGTTTGAATATTTGAATTGAATATTTGAATCATATATTTCAATTACCTTGAATCATATGTTTTTGAATACTTTGAATCATATCTCAACACTCACAATTGATTCAAAGTTGCAAATGTCAAGTAATCGTCTGAAGTAGCAAAACTTTTCTTTTGACAAAGTCTTGGTAAGTATGTTTGCTAGCTATTCATCGGTGTTACAATATTCCAAAACAATTTCTTCGTCTGCAACAAGATCACGAATATAGTGATGTCGAAGTTCAATATGTTTTGTTCTACTGTGAAACGCTGGGTTCTTTGTCATAGAAATAGTTGCTTTATTATCACAAAATATCTTTGTTGCCCCTTTGTGCTCTTGTTGAAGATCAGCTAACATTCTTCTTAGCCAAATAGCTTGACACGCTGCTGAAGTTGCTGCAACATATTCTGCTTCTGACGTTGACAACGTCACTGTTGCTTGCTTCTTTGAGCTCCAAGTGATCACTCCTAACCCTAAAGTGAAAACATTGGCTGAAATGCTTCGTCTATCATCTAATGATCCTGCCCAATCACTCTCAGTGAATCCATATAGTTTGAAATTAGAGGATTTAGAATACCAAATTTCATACTCCATAGTTCTAGCAATGTAACGTAAGACTCTTTTTGTCGCTCCATAATGAACCTTTGAAGGATGTTGCATAAACTTAGAAATAATACCAACAGGAAATGCAATGTCGGGTCGTGTGTGAGTTAAATAAATTAATCCGCCAACCAAGCTCTTGAACCTTCTAGCATCTGTCATTTCTGCTTCATCATCACATTGTAATTTCTCATTAATATTCATAGGTGTAGCTGCAGGCTTACAATTAAACATACCAAATTTACTCATAATATCTTTGGCATATTTTCTTTGTGAAATAAAAATTCCATCCTCAACTTGATATACTTCAAGACCAAGAAAATAGTGTAATAGACTCTGACATCTCAAATTCACTCATCATTTGAGACTTAAATTTATCCAAAAGAGAGTTAGAAGAGCTAGTGTAAATAATATCGTCAACACAGAGGCAAATAAGAAATCACTTTTACCTTCCTTCTTCACATATAAAGTAGACTCATTCTCACTTCTCATGTATCCTTTCTTTTGAAAATACTCATCAATCTTGTTGTACCAAGCTCGAGGGGCCTGCTTTAATCCGTATAGTGTCTTTCTCAACTTGTATACCTTTGTTTCTTTGTCCTTCTTTATGAATCCTTCTGGTTGTGCTACATAAACCTCTTCTTATAAATCTCCGTTAAGAAATGCTGACTTAACATCAAACTGATAAACCGACCACCGCAATTCTGCTGTTAATGATAGAATAGTTCTTACAGTTTCAAAACGAGCTACTGGAGAAAAAATTTCTTCAAAATCTATACCTTGTTGTTGTGCATACCCTTTTGCTACAAGATGGGCCTTATGCTTTAGTATGCTTCCATCTGGTGCAAATTTTGTCTTGAACACCTATTTCAAATTGATTGCATTTTTTTCGTTTGGTAAGTCAACCATCTCCCATGTTCCATTTTCTCAATGGCCTGCATCTCTTCTACCATGACTTTCTTCCACTCTTCTTTTTAAGCTGCTTCTTCATAACTCATAGGATCTGAAACAGTAAGAGCAAATTGACATGATGCATATATGTCAGTTAAAGATTTATACTTTCTAGAAGAATCGCTGTTTAGTGATGCTAAAGATGATGAATTGCAGTGGAGGCACTAGGAGATGCACTGGAGTTGACCCTTGTCTCTTCATTTGGAGAAACTTCAACTGTAATCTTTTGCTGCTCATTTTCTTTACTCCAATCTCAACTCATGTTTTCATTAAATATTACATCCTTTCTAACTAAAATCTTTTCTTGTATAATTTATATGCCTTTGATTGAGTACAATAGCCAATGAAAATGCAATTTTCAAATTTTTCATCAAGCTTTTGATGAATTTGAGGATGTTTCAAAGCATAAGCAACACAACCAAAGATTCGTAAATGACTGACAGTTGGTTTCCTTCCATGTCATGCTTCATAAGGAGTTCGATTCATAACCGCCTTTGTTGATGAGATATTTAATAGATAAACAGATGTTGCTACGGCTTCTGCCCAAAATTGGTTTGGAAGTCTCCTTGCTTGTAACATACTTCTTGCCATCTCCACAATAGTTCAATTTTTTCGTTCAGCGATTCCATTTTGTTCTGGAGTGTAGGAAGCTATTAATTCCCTTTGGATGCCCTCTTCTTCACAAAACAGATTGAACTCTTTAGATATGAACTTGCCACCTCTGTCTATTCGAAGAACTTTAATGTGACAGCCACTTTGGTTCTCTACCATAGCTTTAAAAATCTGGAACTTCTGAAAAGTTTCTGACCTACGTTGTAGGAAGTAAACCCATCTCATGCAACCATAATCATCAATGATATATACTCCCACCCAAGGACTTCGTTTGCATTGGCTCACATAAATCAGCATGAATTAGTTCTAAACAATGTGAAGCTCTTCTACCTTTTCCAATAGGAAAGAACTTCCTAGTCTGCTTGCCATAAATGATCCTTCACATAAATTAGTTGAGTCAATTCTTGGTAATCCAAAACCATACCTTTATTCCTAAGTATTTTCAAGCCGTTCATACGAAGATGTCCATATATGAGATGCCATAATGTTGGGTCATCTTTCGTGCTAGAAGCAAAAACAAAATCCTTTTGAATATTTGAGATGCCATAATGTTGAATTCATAAAATCTTGGTAGTTTGATTATTTGAATCATATCTCAATTACTCTGAATCATATCTTTTTGAATACTTTAAATCATATCTCAATATTCAAAACATAAAACAATGAAACGATTACAGACCCAATAGGCTTATATGCTTCAGATAAGGGCCATTCTTCTTTCATTGGACCTGTAAGTTATCGTTTATTATCTTGATTGTTCTTGTTTAGGCGAGTTATTAGATGTGAATTTTCCTGGGTTTCAAATGACAAGACACGTTGATGCATATTTTAGTGGTATCTAACTTAAGAGTTAGACAAGAGAAGAGTTGGTGCTAAGCTTGTTTCAAGAGCTGTTTTTCAGGAAATTTTTGTTACTCTCCAATTCTTTTTTACCACTTGTGAGATATCTGACAGGCGAATGCTGATATGATAATATCAGTGGGCTTTGACTATTACAAATGTTATTATAGTTAAACAGTGAGCATGTGTCGGTGAGAACGTTAGCTCCAAAGATGTGGATTGTGAAATGTCACGTTGAATTAAGGAACAAGGGTGTGAAAATCTCTACACACCCACAACTCTTCAAATCAATTGGTGTAAAATCTAGAAAAGGGATATTGCTAGATGGGCGTGCTGGATCTGGAAAGACTCCTATAACAAGAGCTGTTGCTAATGACACAAGTGCATTCTTCTTTCTCAAAAATAATGTCCAAGTTAGCTGGAGAGAGTGAAAGCAATCTAAGAAAGGCATTTGTGGAAGCTTAAAAGAATGCCCCCTCAATTATATTTATGGATGAGCCTGATTCTACTGCTCCAAAGAGGGAGACAACACACTAGAAGGGGAAAGACGTATCGTCTCTCAACCAATGTAGGATCTCACAATCCATCCCCCTTGGGATCCAATGTCCTCTTTGGCACTTCGCTCGATGTCTAGCTCTAATACCATTTGTATCAGTCCAAGCCTACTGCTAATAGATATTATCTGTTTTGGCCCGTCATGTATCGCCGTTAGCCTCACGATTTTCAAATGCATATGCTAGATAGAGGTTTCTACATCTTTATAAAGAATGCTTCGTTCCCCCTCTCCAACCGATGGGAGATCTCACAAAATGTTTGATGAGATAGTGTAGTGATGGGTGGACAAGGTTGAAATAGAGCTCCAGGAGGCTTGTGCCCTGTTAGTTATAATTTTCAGCTTTTGGTGCATCTAATTTCTCAGATTTGTCGTGTTTTTTCCCCCTCTTTAAAGGTGTTCTGTTTTCTGGGTCCCCTGGCTGTTTCAAAACGCTACTTGCTTACTCAATTGCCAATGAATGCTATGCCAACTTTATAAGTCTGAAAGGACCTGCGTTGCTGACATTGTGGTTTGGTGAAAGTGAGGCAAATGTGAGAGAGATACTTGATAAGGCTCGTCAGTCACCTCCTTCTGTACTATTCTATAGCAACTCAGGTCTTAACATATATTTGGCTAACCTATCATTTCTTATAAGATTCAGAGGTTATACGATAAATCTGTTTGACGGTAGCTTGTGAGATCTCACATTGGTTAGAAAGAAAACGACGCAACCTTTATAATGGTGTGGAAATCTCTCTTTAAAAGACGTGTTTTAAAAACTGTAAGACTGACGGCAATACATACCAGCCTAAAACAGACAATATCTGCTAATGATGAGCTTGAGCTGTTACAAATACCGTGTTTATAATTGGGGCAACAAACAGGCCAGACATTATGGACCTCACACTGCTTAGGATGGGACATCTGCACCGATTAATATAACATCTCAAGCCCTGACAAGTCATCTCGGCTTCAAAGTTTTCAAAGCATGTCTGCATGAAATATGTCAGCGTGCTTGCAAATATAACATTACAGAAAATATTGAGAAGGTGCTTCTAAAAGAACTCTCTTCTTTTGAAAACTTTTCACTGAGTTTGTAAAGTGTATTGTTCCTACACTCAAATAACTTCATACTGTTCATCTCTCTGACTCTAACCATTGCTGCTTAGCTAACTGCAGACCACTCACCCATTTCCTCCTTTCAGCTGATAAGGCCAAAGCTGAAAATAGAAACACAACTGAAGAAACTATAATCTAATCTAAATTTAGGGTCTTCAAGAAACACTGCACTTCTTTCATGGAAAAACCAGAACTCTTCAGTGACAAGCTTAGTATTAAAGGTCCTCGTGAAATGGGAAGCCATGTTCATCCACTGTGGCTGCCTCAAGCCTTTGTAATAACCAAACTCTTCTAATCGCCATGTTTATAGAGGTTTTCACACCCATCATTAGTGGATATCTACTAGCGGTGGACTTGAGCTATTGCAAATGGTATTAGAGCCAGACACTGAGCGGTGTGCCAGCAAGAATATTCCTTATAAGAGTGTGGAAACTTCTTCCTAGTAGACGCGTTTTAAAAATCGTGAAGTTGACGACGATTCACAACGAGCCAAAGTAGATAATATTTGTTGGCGGTAGGCTTGGACTGTTACGTTCGCACGTTTAGATTTAAAAATTTTCAATTCAACCCAGGTATATGTTATTACTTCTTCATTACTTATGTTGTGTGTTTTATTCATAAGATGAATATTAGGATCTTCAAAGGGAGAGAAAGGAATGTCGACAAAGTCTCGAAGATAAGAGACCACGCATTTTGTTTTTATAGTTCAATAAAATATGATCGGAGAGATTCAAATCTTTAAGTTATTGATCACTCGACTCGAGCTTAGTCGAGCTTAGAAGGAAGGGATGAAGGAGAAGAATGTACATCAAATAACCCAATCATTGGCCATTTCCGAGTGGTTTAGTACCACACATTTTCCCTTTCACATTTTATTATTCCCTTTCACACTCACTCCACAGTTCACAGGCACAGATCAATCAAGAACCTTCCAACGTGCACACGCCCACTCACCTTTCACTTCGCCCCTTTTCCAAAACGACGCAACTTTAATCGATTATTCACTTATAATTCCACCCACGCCCAACTAAACTGAATATATATATTTTTTTTTTCTCCAATTAACCTTGAATTATATTATTTGTAAGAAACCAAATGGCCTTTGTTAATTCACATTTGTAAGAGATCAATAATAATGAATTTATAAATATATATAATATTTTATTTTCCTTTTCTGTCCCCGTTCAAGAAGGGGTCTAAAAGCTAAATCCTTTACAATACCCTATCTACTTATCCCAAAGATACATTAATCTTAATCTTAATTTTTCTTAATAATAAATTATAGCATATATCATTGTTCACGCGGCGTATACGTGCTTGATGAGGACAATGACACATAAGAGCAACGTGACGACTCCTGAAGAGGCAACGTGAAAAGCAAATGACTCGCATGAGTTGTAGAAGAGGAGGATGAAAATGACGTTGTTTCCAAACTTGTTGCATTGCTATTGTTTCGTGGCGGCTTGTCAATGGCCTCTGCTACGTTTGCCAAGTGATCTTGTTGGATCTCCCGTAAAAGAGCTGCCACGTCTTTCATTGTTGGTCTTTCTTCAGAACGGTCGCTAGTGCAGAGTAGGGAAATTCCTAATGTTTGGAGGATCTCTTGAATTTGCGGGTCGGGTCGACCTTGGAGTTCGGGATCCATGATCAAAATTGGATCTTTCTTCTTCTTTAAATGATCTCTCACCCATTGAATCACGTGTTGACCCTCTGCAAATGATGAGTCTGCAGGTTTTTTACCCGTAATTAACTCCAACAAAACGACGCCGTAGCTATACACATCACTCTTTTCTGTGATCCTTAACATGCATCCATACTCTGGGGAAAAAATTATAATATTAAACAAACAAATTTAAAATAAATAAAAAATCACTTTTCTAATTACTTTTTAAAAATCTAACTAAATTCTAAAATTGAAAAGTGCAAATTTCCAAAGGAAATGACATGAAAATCTTTGCAACCTCTCACTGGTCACAATCATCCTGCCCCATTTTATTCTTATCCTCCAATTTACACCCATTCTTATCCTCCTACTGTCTATATTAAATTTATTTTTTTATATAAAAAAAATACGTACACAAATTACGATTATAAGAAATATGAACGGAAAATTAAAATTTTAAAGCCACCAAACTTGTAATTAAGTATTTAAAAAATAAATAAATTATAAGATGGAAAAAAAGATAAATTATCAAAATATACCATAGTAATTTTTGTTCATTATTATTGTAATAATTAGTTTAGACCTTACCGGGTGCAAAGTAGCCGTAAGAACCGGCGAACTGGGGGTTCGCGGAAGACGAACCGCTTGGACCATCTTCAACCAAGCGGGCGAGCCCAAAGTCCGCCAAACACGCCTCGTAGCGATCCCCCAACAGAATGTTGTGAGCCTTAACGTCCCGGTGCAATATTGCCGGCACGCAGTCGTGGTGCAAATAAGCCAAACCCTCCGCCACTCCCAATGCTATCTTGAATCTACTCTCCCAGTCCAACCCCACGCGCCCATTTCCCTCGTGTAGCAACTCGCCCAAATTCCCGTTCGGCAAGTAGTCGTAGAACAGCAACTTCGTCCTCCGATTCGCCCCCCACCCTAGCAATCGGACGATGTTCCGATGCCGGATTCTCGCCAGTGTTGCGATTTCGGATGAAAACGCCGCCGCCGAGAACTTATCTGATGATCGGAATCGCTTCACGGCGATTATTAGACCTGATGAGATGCAGACTCTGTACACCACGCCGGTCTTGCCGCGGCCGATTACGTTGGCCGGCGTTAAGCACTTGATTACGTCTGAGATTGAAAGATCAAGCTTCTGGTATAATGTCACTTCCCAGCCTGAGCCAAGCTCCAGGTCGCTATCAAAGGCGGCGTCTGAATCTTCACCGCGGGACCCATTGAAGCATCCTTGACACGAATGTCTATCTTTGAGAATGATATATACTGCCGCTAGTAGCAGTGCGCACGCCGTGCACAGTAACACCACCATGGCCACTCGAGCCGCTAGCGTGTGGTGACCGCCGCCTGTGTGGTTATCGGCGTAACATTTTTCGCCGGCGAAACACAAGTCCGGATTCCCCGAGAGGACGCTTAAAGGAAGCAGCGTGAAGAATGACGTCTCTGGCACACGTCCTGAGAAATTGTTGTGTGATACATTGAGGACTACGAGATTTTTCAGGTCTGCGAGAATGTGGAGGTCGCCTGAGAGTTGGTTGTAAGAGAGGTCCAATGACCCTAGCTTGTCTAAATTTGCAAACTCCGGGGGAATCTCGCCGGTCAGATGGTTTACGCTCAGATTGAGACCAATTTCTAGTGAAGGAATCTTCCCTAAGCTCGGAGGAACATTTCCAGAGAGCTGATTGCAACTTAAATCCAGTAACTGAAGTTTCAAGCAGGAACCGATTTCAGTCGGTACAGGCCCCGAGAAGTGGTTGTTTGAGAGAATTAGTTTCGTGAGCGAGTTGAAAGCTCCAAAACTCGGATTCGGCATCCCTTCGATTTGATTATTTGAGAGATCAACGTACTGGAGCGAAGAAAGCTGGTTGAATTCTTCTGGAAGAAATTTTGTTATAGAGTTGGAATGCAAATCGAGGAATGTCAAATTTCGACAGCCGGAGATCTCCGGAGGCAACGCTCCAGTGAGGCGATTGTTTCCAAGGTCTAGGAAAATCAAGCTCTTCAAATTCCCAATCTCCGGCGGAATTTCTCCTGTGAGCTTGTTGTCATTCGCTCGTAACCGAAACAGAGACGAACAGTTACCAATCGCCGGCGGTATCACACCAGACAGGTTGTTGGAGAGGAGCAGAAGCTTGGAAAGCTTTTTCAACTCGAAAACTCCAGTCGGAATCGAACCTGTCAAGGCGTTCAATGATAAATCCAAAGCCTCGAGGTTACCACAATTGGAAATGGTGGGTGGAATACTTCCCTCGAGCTTGTTTTGCCACAAGAACAGCAATGTCAGATTGGTGAGATTTCCCAATTCAGAGGGGATCGTACCAGTGAGCTGGTTATTATCAAGCTCGATATGAGTGATTCTCGAACAGCTTCCGATCTCCTTAGGAATCTCACCGGATAATTGATTTGAACTCAGTTGCAATTCTTGGAGCAATGTCAAGTTCCCAAACGTTGAAGGAATGCTTCCTGTCAAGGAATTAATTGAAATGTCGATGACCAATAATTGGCTACACTTACTTAGCTCCACCGGTATAACGCCGACCAAATTGTTCTGCCATACTAGCAAACTCTGGAGATTTTGTAACCTTCCTAACGTGCTTGGGATCGAGCCGGAGAGCGAGTTCTCATAGAGATAAACGTTTTGGAGCTCAGTGCAGTCGCCAAGTTCATGAGGAATCTGGCCGGAGAGTAGCGTAGTATAGATTGCCAATGTTTGAAGCTTCTTGAGGCGGCCAAGACTGGATGGAAGGAAGCCCGAGATGCTTGTTTCAGCTAGACCAAGAATCTCCAAACTGCTGCAGTTACCAATTTCTTCCGGCACAGAACCAAGTAAGTTCTTGTTCCCTCCAGCTCTAATCACTTCAAGCTGCTTCAAATTTCCTATACTAATGGGAATTTCACCACTTAACTGATTGTCATACAGAATCAGCTCCTTCAAGTTCGTGAGATTCCCGATCCCTGCAGGTATTGATCCTTCGAGATGATTCGAATTGAGGTCAAGCTGTTCGAGATCTAGCAAGGCACATATTTCACTTGGGATTTCTCCAGTTAAGCCATTGTCACTAAGTTCCAAGGTCTGGAGCTGGGTAAGAACACCGATCTCTTTAGGAATGGAACCGGTGAGGTTCACACCAGACAAGACGAGCCTGTTCAAGGACGAGAGTGAAGAGAAATTTGAAGGAAGTTCACCAGGTAGTTCCACGTCCCTCAGTACTACTTCCACTACTTCTCTGTTTGTGTTGCAAGTGATTCCAAACCACCCACATGGAGTTTGGTTGTTAGGGTCCCAATTACGTAGAGCCGCCTGGTTTGATCCATTGAAACTCAGCTTCCAAGTGAGTAGAGCTTGACCCTGTTCGTTAATGGCGGAAGTTGGGAGAGGGAAGTGGTACAAGACTGAAAAACAGAGGTTTAGGATTAGGATAGATGAGGGGAGGGTCCATGAATTTACAGGCATTACAACTAAACTACAAACTCCAATGAGAGAAACAGAAGAGTGGGTTTGAGCCTAGGGAGTGCCAAAAACAAGAGAAGCCAAATCATGTCTTGCGGTCTACGATGTCTTAGATTAGGTCTCTCTATAAACAATTTGAAATGCCTTAAATCCTGGGATCCAAGAACAACAGCTAGGCCATGATGGTGGTGCAGGGGGAGATGGAATTCTTGGTTGGCGTTTGCTTTGCAGTTTTTTTATTCATAAAGGGGGAGAGGTGGGAGGAGGGTGGAAAACTGTATTTTAATTGAAACAACTTCGAGAAAGAGAGAAGGATAGAAACAGCTTTTCTTTTCACCAACAGTTCTTAGGCGGAATGGGATGAATTAAAGGCCAGATATCCAAAAGAACATTAGGGGTTTTTAGTGACCTGCATTTTGCTTTCAGGCCAGCCAGATGGCCTTAAACCATCGTGGCCCAACCTTATATGATAACGTTGTTTGTTGCTATTGCTAGCCCTTCCGCTGGTTTCCAAAAATCTGTATGATTATATATACCTTTTCTTCACGTTTTTAACCTTAATAAGGCTGCTTTCTTTTGGGGGTTGTTTTTTTCAATAAAGATTTAATGCAATTATGTTTCTGTGCCGTTTTTATTTTTCTCATTTTTTTTTTTTTATATATAATCTCTCTCTCTCTCTCTCTTTTTATATTAAAAAAAATATCTCTCTTTTTGGGCCTTAGTTTTCCACTAATACTGTCAAACCCCACCCTAAGTAAATATTTTGGACATTTCTTAAAACGCGTCTGTTTAGAAGAGCTTTCCACACCTTTATAAGAATGCTTCGTTATGCTTCGTTCTCTTCTATAATTGACTGACGAGGGATCTCACAAATATACAACCTCCTCAATACAAACAAAGAAATCAAACCCAACTCTTCCATTACCATTGGAAATTAAAATAAATATATATTTTTTTGGCCTAACTTTATCCTGTTTAATTAGTTTGGCAATACCATAAACAGTGATTAACAGATTTGAAGCCTGAACCATCCACATGGCATAACCCTAAATTTAAGACTTATGAACAGATCTGTGAAGGAAGGGCAGAGGTTTGGATCTAAAAATAATATATAATAGGATAAAAGATTCGAATGCCTGTGGATCTGCTGCATGACCCTGTTTTTATATTGCTTTCTTTCTTTTTTTTTTTTTTTTTTTTTTTTTTGCGACCAAATGATGAAGTGAAAATTCCCTACTGGTAGAAAATTTGAAGAAGTCATGTGATCTTCAGATTAAATAAAGAAGAGGCCAATCCAATCCATTCCAAAATTTAGAATCACAATTTGGATTTTGGGTTTTATTATGGAAGGAAGTCACTCAGTGTCTGTGGCTATCTCGTGATCATGATGTGGTTTCATGTTATTTTATTCACTGCATTTAAATTTTGTGTTTGTTTCCTTCTCCATCAAGGAGATGGTAGTGATTTTAAAATCCATTAAAGCTTGATTTAGGACAGCCTTTTTGGTGAATATAATCAAACTCATCTTTTGTATTATTCTTTACTGTCATTTCTTCATTTTTGAAAAGGGTAGCAAGGCCTTCAATTGATGTGGAATAATGTGATTAATTATGATGAGCTCAAAGGTAAAGGTTGCTGTACCTTTATTTTCTGAGTTATAAAGTCATTTGTATCTGGGAAATGCATGCATGTGTTATAGTATACTACATTTCTTTCATATCCCTATCTGAGATTTGGGTAATTCTGGTGTTAGGACAATGGTCTTGTCAATCTAATTCCTTAGCTCTACTTGCATCTATGTAAAGTAAACATGGGCTGTCTCAATAATTGTAAATTTTATGGGCGAATTTCAAATTTTTCATTATTGTTTTTGTGACACAACTAATTTCATTTGGAACCATATATCTAGAACTCTCCTGCAATTATACAAAATTAGCTAAGATTCTGCTTGCTTCCTACTCTACAAAAGTCAATTAACTCGACTTAGTAACAGTTCAAACTCATTTTTAGCAAATATTCATTTCTTTGAACTTCCGAGAAGCTCAAGCTCACCACTATCAGATATTGTCCTATTTGGGCTTTTTGTTCCTTTTGAGTTTTGAGGTTTCCACAAGCGCACCGCTAATAGATATTGTCCTATTTGTGTTTTTTGTCCTCTTTGGGCTATCTCTTTCGAACCTCCTCTCAAGGTTTTTTAAAGCACATCTTCTAGGGAGAGATTATCACATTCTTATAGCTTCGTTCTCATCTTCGACTGATGTGGAATTTTATAGGTAGATTTAAGTTAGTTTTTAAATAGACTTTTCTAGATAAGATATTATTAATACATAAAATTGTGTTCAACTTGAGAAAAGTGGGATCCGAGATATTCACTTTTGATCGGATTTTGTTTTTTTAGTTTTACAATTGTACGAAGATTACATTATCGACATTTGAAATTTAGTGTTTTTATTTATTCAAGTAGGCTCAAATTGTCAAGAACTAAAGAACTTAATAGGTTGGTATATAGAATCGTCATGTGTGTACTATTTTTAATGCACAACTTTGTCACTTTCCAATGTTTACAAAAGTACTCCTAAAGGATTTTTTTTAGCTCAATAGTTACGAAAGAGATCGCACAAACAACATTTAGGATGGTAATGGATGTCTTTTATCTATTGAGTTAGGCTTGATTTGTCTTGGACTTAAAAGGATAGATTTTGATTCGGATTTTACCCACTTTTTTATTAATTCACCCTATGAAAACTTTGATATTTAAAGAATTCATATATCATCAGTAATGATAAATTTAAGGCTACAAACGAGAAGATCAAAAAGAATATAGCATTGAAGAAGAAGAAGTGGCTTTATTAATGGCCTCCATTATATGAATGCCTTGTGGCAGCTGCTAGAAAATCAAACAGTTCACAGCATAAATGACCTTTTTCTTTTTCCCTTTCTGCGTGGATGTCCCATTTTAGCTCCACAACATACCCTATATATCGGGAAAATGTCCCTTGCTAGGTTGATGTGGGAGGCTTTATTACTCTTCCCACCTACCATTATTTTGTCACATAATTAAATGCTTCTTTCAAATGATCATTCCATTCTCTTTACACTGCTTTTGAGCATTTTTTTTAAAGATGAATTTGGTTTTGAGTACGTACTTTTTCTTCTTTCCGCTCTCAAATGGAGCGTTTTTTTTTTATATTATTATTGTTGGTCTTTGAATGGGCGAGTCAAGCCAAGAGCCAATCTACTAACTTCATTAACCACATTTTAAAGCTTAGGGTTTAAGAATCGCATCGTGCAAATGTAAATTTCTTGTCACATAGAAGTGCCAAAAAAAGATTAAACTAAATCAAGGCTCTTAGTCATAGATCTCATATCCAAATCGGTCATTATCTCTTGAAACAACGTTGGATGCAAGATAGGTAAAGAGATTATTTAAGTGGGTTACTGAGTAGCGGTTAAAAAGAGAAATGAATTCTACATCTATCCATTTTTTTTTTTACCTTTTTACCATTTAACTCAGTTTAACTCGTGTATCTAGTAAAGATTTTTAGCCTTGTGTGGCCATGATTTGAGGAGCGGATCCGTGTAGGGTCACTCTCAAGTTCCATTAGGCTTTAAATCTCGACTACTACTCAGTAAATGGGTCTTGAGAGACCCTAGTTGGGCTGTTTGGGCTCAGAAAATGAAAATGGGCCAGATACAATTTGGGCTCAAAATCGGTGTTGCCTTGTGGGCCACCGACGGCCCAACGTGACTCATTACCAACCGTCGTCGTCGTCGTCGTCGTCCGTCGTGTTCTCCAGGAAAGAATTTGAACTTTGAAGCAAATTTGGCGGGCGAACGAGTGTCAAGCAACTTCTTTGCTCTGTAAAAGAATGGAGAACAAGGCTGAAGATTCTGTTTGTGAGAGGATGGAGTCACTTCGAATTGTTCGTGAAAAGGAAATTGCAGTTCAGCAGCAAAAAATGCAGTCCTTCGCGGATTCATTTCGAAAATCTCTGGAATCGATCACTGCACGGTCCCGAGAAAATGCCCGAATAATCCAAGGTGAGCCATCTATTCTCTTCAAATTATTCGGGAAAGAAGTGGATGCGATCCCGTTATATAGTGGCGAGTTCAATGATGTAATCGGTACTAGAATTGTTTGTGAAGTCGCCAATAGGGTTTTGAGATTGGTAGCGTATAAGACTCAAAAATGAATTTAATTCTAGGGGACTGAGTAGGTTTAGGTTCAGGAGTGGCCAAGTTTACTTCGAAATTTCTTGTTTCATCTTTGATTGATTTTTGAATTTTCAGGAAAACTGGGGGAACTAAAAGCGAGGCTGAGGAAGGCGGAAGATGAACTGGCTAAAGCTCTTGCAGGTATGAGCTATGATTATGCTAATTTCCTCTAACGCTGCATGAGTAGAATACACTATTTCGTTGAATCGACTGAGGCTGCATGCTAATTATAAGGCTTATTTCCATTATAATTGCGTGTTTTTGTAGTCAAGACTCGTAAAGAGGCTAAACGCCTCGCACTCACGGACTCCCTTGCAACTTCAAAATCTAGAATTGAAGAGCTCAGAAACAATTTGCAAGACTGCAAAGCAAGGAGGGATGAATATTCAACAACTATATCTCGGCAATCCTTAGGTAAACTTAATTTCTTTACGAGTGCTCACTCTTAAATCTGTTTTTGGTAGCCCTTAAAAACTGATTACATCTCTTTCTTTCCAATGCCATCAGAAGCTTTATCTCCATATGAACACAAGCAACCCCAAGAGAGTGATTGTAGAAATGAAATTCAAGAGGCTATTTCTTGGTACAATAGAGTTCTTGATTTCCATATTGAAGGAGGGCATGGTATGATAATTTGAGTTAGTTGTTTTTTAATAACCTTTATATTTTTTGTGAATTCTTGAGATTAATTTCTCGACAACTTCTCTCGGGTTTTCAGGGGTAAAGTTCTCTTTCAAGAAAATCAATGTAGACGATCCTGATAAAGAATATTCTTTTACCATCCGTCATGCAAATGATACTTATACGTGTAAGTTATGTGCACTTAATGTATGTTGATTTTTCATATTCTTGATCTTCTGACAACCTTACTTTTTCAGTGTTAGATTGTAACCCATCCTTGCAAGGTATTGAAGAGTTGATACATGAATTAAATAATACAAATGGGTTATTCAAGTTTGTCAGGATCATAAGACGGAGGTTCCAGGAGGCTGCTGCAGAAGGTGTGCGCTGAATTTTGAACTTTTTGCTTGGAAGTGTGTTATTCACTGCACAAAAAACTCATTGGTACTTAATAGACATACTACCTGAAGCACCATGTTTTGTGCTTCTTGCAGTTTGTTAGATTGAACTTGTTCTGCATTAATAGTTTGTTATAT